CTACCTCGTAAGGCTGACATGAATCTTGCAAATCTGAAAGTGCAATCTACCCGCCGTCTCCTTTATAGCCCGAGAAACTAGGGAGGGTCTCTTCTGAGCCTCTTACCCCACTCACTATCCAGCTGTGGGCTATGCCGCCTCTTATCTGACCGTTCCCTTGGCAGCGTCTCTTGGCCCAGTCTCCCCACAGGCAAAGGTCTTTCCCACGTACCATTACATGGACACATCTGTGAAGATTTCTTGGTGACAATATATAGAAGTGGTTCTTCTCTGCTTTCTTCTGGGTTTGTTTGTGTTTTACTTCTTGGTCTAACCTACAACTCTGATCTCCTGTTGGCCTCCCATCAAAATCCCAACCAGGTCCATGTCATCAGGCGTGGGAATCTGGAGGTACAGCGGAGCCCATACAGTAGTTATACTGAGTGTAGATTATTTTAGACCCCAGCTGTGGATTTTGTTAATTTGATTGTATTGCTTTTGCACGTTTTTTTAAAATATGGCTTTATTTATTTATTTTTTTTAGTTTTTAAATGGTTGTAAGCCTCCCAAAATCACGGAGTTGAGATCGGTGGCTATAAAAATGAAGCAATAAATCAGGAAACAAACAGTATTTATTTATTGCTGAACCCAGATAAAATCAGCCAGGCTGGCTTCTTCTTGAAAAATACTGATGTTAACCCTGTAGAATTGTAATAGCTAGTTTGAGAGGCACTGTGTTTCTTATTATGTTAAGCTGGAGTGGGAGGGTTTTTTTTCCCACCCAAAAGCCATATTTCTTAGTTAGGGGTAAGGCAAAAGGGGGATTGCTTCTTCTCAAATCTCTCTTTTTCCCCCTTTAGATCCAGCCTGGGGTATTTCAGGGAAACTAGCAGAGAGTTAGTTGGGGCAACAAGGATCGGAAGCATAATTCTTTTTCCTTACCTCTTCTTCCTTTCAACAGGTATTAACATATTAGTGAATTCGCGGGCCTTCCAGTATGGCATGTGTAAGTGTTCACTCCGTTTTAAGGGGCTGGTGGATAGAGTTACACAGTATATCGAATGGTGTTTTGTTCTGGCAAATAAACATTGCAGTGAAAAACGAATACAAACTAAAAAAAACTAAAAGAATAAAAAGAAAAAGAAAAAGTGCAGAAAAGAAGAAAAAATAGCAAGAAAAATAGAAAAGAAAGAAAAAATATAAATATAGTAAAGAAAAAGAAAAATATGTATATAAAGAAGTGACTTGTTTATCACAAGTATAAAGAATTTTAATAACTTATCACCTTCTCTTAAAACACAAGTGATCTCTTCTTCCCATATCCCAAACTGAGCAACGTATCTTTAAAGCTGGTCAATTAATCATTTATTAATAAATATATTATAGTTTACAGCAGTCTTCTCTAGACCCCTGCCCTCCAAATGGGTTGGACTACAACTCCTTTGGTTCACAGACTGTAGCCTACAATCACAATTTTTTATAAAGTTGGGAGTGTAGCACAACACATCCCTGGAAGACAGTTTCAGTTCCAAGTTGCAACAGATTCAGGTTGCTCCAATGGCCATTTAGTATGGCATAAATTGAAATTCAGGAATAAATCATGAAGAATGAATCTCAGAGTTGGCATGTTTCCCTCTGCCTTCCACATCCTCTTATACTTTTGTGCTATTGCTTTTGGATTGAAACCTAACAAAGGCAAGGATTGTGTGGTTGGGAATTAATGTGATGTAAGCTGCAGTGTGAACCTTAACTGTTGGGGAGGAGGGTAAAAATGGTTTCAAACCCATTGGCCCAAAAGTTGGCTTCCATGGGAGCATCTCACCGATACATGTTGGTGGAATTGAGTCTTTCCTGCCTTGTTTGAAAGCTATGCTGTTGTTTTCCATTATGTCTTGTAGATATTCTGGTGGCAGTGAATGGTCTCTGGATTCTAGTAGAAACCTTTATGTTGCGAGGTACAACACAACATAATGAATTTCTGTTTATTGAGCTCATCTTCCCTTCCCTTGGACATGATTTCAGCTGTCCTCTGAAACTTTCTGCTGTTTCTTTTTCAGATGGAATATTTTCTCGAGATGTCCCTTGGAGTTACGTTGTCTTCCTTACAAGTAAGTCTTCAGCAACTTGATTTCCAAGGGAGCATTTGGAGGTATCCTTAGAGAATAAAAATGATGGGACGCTAGACTCAAAAAAGAAAAGAAAAATGGAGTAAGATAACTTGGGTGGAAGGGAGACTAGAGGAAGGGGCACTCCTGGTGTTCTGTGGCTGCTGTCCCCCCCACTGGTGCAATTAAGGAAATGTGTGCAACCTTCTGTGGATCTCATGGTGTGAGAGCTCCTACAACATCTTCTCAACCTTCTAAAAATGCCCATTGTCTCCCCAAAAGTTGGGGACCCTCAATACAGAAGGATTTAGCCTGAGTCCTCAACGTTAATTCTGATCTTCAAGCTGCTACATAACTTGATTATGTGGGATTACTAGGGAAATCATGCAAAACAGAAAACCCAATGTATAATGGTAAATAGGTCGGTCGGTCGGTCTTTATTGCGGTCTTTGACCAACCTGTGTTCATATACAGACACACCTACAAAAAATACATAAAATATACATTAAAAGAAGTTAAAAGAGAGAAGGAAAGGAAGGAGAAGGGAGAAAAATTTAAAGGTATCAAAAGAATGCAGTTTTATTGGACAATTTTGGTTGACGATTACAAAAACAATCACAACACTTCCTCTTCTCTGTGGACAGTCTATGGAGTTGAAGTGCTGTTGAAGATCACGGGTCTGGGGCCTAAAGAGTACCTCTCTTCTGGTTGGAACCTGTAAGTATCTCACCATGTAAGGGATTTGGCCTCAGAGACCCATAGGAATGTAACTTGCAAATGCCTCCCAGAAGATCCACTTCTGTATCTGTTTTCTTTCAGTTTTGATTTTGCGGTCACTTTGTTCGCATTCTCGGGTCTCCTGGCACTGGCGTTCGACATGGAGCCGTTCTACTTCATTGTCGTGCTGCGGCCTCTGCAGTTACTGAGGTGAAGATACAGGATGGGCCAGATACATGCAGAACTGGAGAACTGGGGGTCCTCTAGATATTGAGGAATTACTGCTCCCAGCATCCCTTGCTCTTGGCCCCTAATTGCAAGGGATGCTGGGAGTGGCAGTCCAGCAACATCTGAAAAGCTGTTCTGAGGTAGAGAGAATTGGTACCATAGAGCTGGTAGGATGAATGATTGGACTCCAGGATAGCCCCGAATGGAAGAAACCATGGGCTGGAGATAAGTGAAGAATAGTTGTGACTGAACAACAACAACAACAACAACAACTCCTCCTCCTCCTCCTCCTTCTAATAAGTGAAGAATAGTTGTGGCTGAACAACCTCTTCTCCTTCTCCTTCTCCTTCTCCTTCTCCTTCTCCTTCTCCTTCTCCTTCTCCTT